AACTTTAACACATTACCACCCTATACTCTATATATGATTGACCATTGAACTAAATCGTTGTTTATTTGGGTAAGATTAAAATATATTTTACTATTCAATATTGGAGTTGGTGTGAAACAAAAATTAATAATTTATTGTTATGTATGCAAATAAGAACTACAATTCTGAGCTTATTGAGCATCTCTTAGTCAAAAACAAAGGCAGTTTTGCTTGATCAAGTTTCGAATCTAAGAAGAAAATGTTTTTAACAAACAAAAGGTTAATAATAAAATTTGAAGGATTTAAGATATTGCGTATGGTAGCATGAAACGTCACAATCTTCTTAATTGTCAGGCAGTTGATATGGCTACGAAAAAGTGACAATGGAAACACATAGCTGAAGATTTCATACTTACAGTGGGATAAACTTCAAACCTCTAATATAAATTAGTTAAATTTAGTTATTATTTTTTTTTAACAATTTTAAGTTTTCGTTTGGAATAGTTTTCATGAACTTATCTATTAGGAGATCTCTTTGGAAAATTACCGTACATCCGATATCTATTGAAATTTTGACATCCTCACTTTTTGGAAAAAGAAGTTCAAGATACAAGTTTATGTGCAAAAAATAAATTAAACAATAAAAGTCTCCTTATTTTTATGGAACTTATAATAGAAAAATTTGTATTTCATTACCCAGACTTTATGAATAGCCTACTCTATAAGTAATAGTAGAAATTCCGAATTAGTAAGTTCAGTCAAGACGTCATTCAAAAGTTTTGAAGAAAATCACTTTTCTCTTTTGTGAAAATTTGGGACTATCTTATGCGAGTATTGTCGACAAAATGTTAGTCTATGAATGACTAAAAATTAACGAATAAATGGTTAATCGCGATTAATGATTAAAATTAATTAAGCGATCGCTGTGGTGTAGTGGTTAGAAGTGCGCACTACCATTCCGCAGGGTGAGCGTCCGAGCCCAGTTCCGGCCAACAAAAAAAAGAAAATGTTTTTTGTAATAGTGGTCGGCCCCCGGCAGGAGTCGGCGTAAAACTGTAGGTCCCTCCCCTTTGTGCGACAACATCAAGGCGCATGCCACAATCGGAGGAGTAGCTCGGCCAAACACTAATATATGTCGATGGTCCTCTGCAATAACGGCACAATTCAAAATTTCAGGTTTAGAAAAATACATAATTTGAAAGCTTACAGTATGACTGCATATAATCCGGAATAATTACGTTCCAAGACATATTATTGCTAAATTACGAAACAAAAAATCTTTAATTGGCTCTACTGAGATATATGAAATTTTTAGTTGTGTCGATATGTAAGCTCGTTTCTATTATTATTAGTAATCATCAATACAATTTCAAATTACATAAACCCAGTCACAGCCCTTTTTTGTATTCGACGCTTCCAGAAATCACATAATACATAAAATAAATAAAAGCTGTTTTGATTAATATTACATAAACTGGAAACAGTTAAAAATAAGTGCGCTTGTGTACAGAGATTTTAGAACCTATTTAGTTCCTAAAATGTCTGTTTGCAACACATAACAATAAAAATGCACATCAAATTGCTAAGAATGATGAAGGAAATCGATTCAGACATGCCTGTTTAACTGGCCGTGCGTGCTCTAAACAAACACATGTTAATTAAGGAGCTATTCAAGTATTATGTAACCACCAGGGGAAAGCGGGGGTCTTGGTTTGGCAACGGGCAACATTTCTTCAAATAAGGAAAACATTAATTACACACGCACAAATTTTGCCTGCAATTTCCATCACAATTGAACACTGCACTTCACTCTCGTTTCGAATTTTTGAAAGCGTTTTTTAAGCTATTTAGTGGTTTAACACTTCTTGTGGGCACTTGATATTGGAAAAAAATTATGCGCAATTCGATCACTAACTACATTTTTTTGTAAAGAACGCCCGTTTGCTTTAAATTTGTAAAAATACAATTATTTTTTTATTTTGTTTACATCTGTCATTTGTTACAAATGAAGAAAAGTCCAAGAGTTGCCAAGTATAAATATCTCTATATCTATTTATTAAAATAATAATTTACAATAATAATTTATTTAATTAATACTTTATTAAAATACAAATTTGAAGTGCAAATACATTTGTAAAACTGTTTATCACGAAATGTTATTAATTGTTTGCAAGCATACTATAGTTTTCATGCATTTTGGGAATAAATAATCTAATATGTGTACATATATATCGTCGTTTAAAGTACAAAACCGCGTATCGTCATTCTGCAAAACCGTGTGATTGACATTGGCTGCCAAAAATTGGATTTGCTCACAAAAGCTCTTGGCTCAATTCTTATCCATTCGTCCTGAAATATACTAGCCAGAAATACGTTTGCTTTATAAAAAAGATAACCATTTTGAAATATGGGTGACTTTACTCTCTAGAAAATAATTTATGCAATTACGCGGTTTTGCATTTTCTTGATACGCGGTTTTGTACTTTAAACGACGATATGTATAGCATGTACTTACGGCGGCCGCCGTAGCAGAGTGATTACATGTGCGTACTTCCACTCCATAGGACCATGGTTAAATACCTGGTCAGATCATAACACAAAATAGCAGTCGTCCTTCGGCACGCAATGGCATACCTTCGAGTATATTTCTGCCTTGAAAACTCTTATAAAATCAGAACTCATGCCTCAAGTTTGAGCAGAAGTTCGGCCAAACACTTAGAAAAATATTTTAGCACCAAATATTTATTTGTTTACTTATTTTAAGGGAGATGGCAATCTTCTGGTTTCACATTTTGGGTACAAAAATTTCAACCCTGATACAACAAATAGTATTAGTACTGAATGATAATGACAGATTGCATTCCCATAAACGTCCAATCATACATGATTGAGTTTTTTTTTTGCATTCACATTCTCTATGTGAATGGGTATCAACCATTCCATAACACACTACATATTTTGTGTTTGCAATTTGTAACCAATCTCAAGAGTGGTTGTTAAATTTTTTAAATCAAACAATCACATTTTTTAAACGAAAAAAATGAGAATGCACACTCAATTGATTCAATCATTACACAGCTCTGCTACATATAATACTGTATACCTAAAATTTTTCTAAAACTTCAAAAAAAACAAGTAAGAAAGTCTAAGTTCGGGCGGAGCCGAACATTAAATACCCGGCGCAATTATTAAATATATGTTTTCCACCTTTCCGAAAACTACCGCTACACGATAAGCCGGGGTGTATAAATTTTAAGTAAATTAGCGTCCTTAAATTTCGAAATATTGAAGTTTCAAGCATTACTGAAATATACCGTTATATGAAGAGCGGTCGTAATTTAGTCCGATTTCAATAATTTTCAGCGCTTTGCTTTTATGTGGCAAGCACAATAACCATACCGAGTTTGGTTCAAATTGCTAGAACGGTTAGCGAGATACATATATGTGATCATAAGTGGGCGGTGGCACGCCCATTTTCCAAAATTGTATCATAAGCGTATTTCTTGGTAAACAATTGTTGCAACCATCAATTTTGAATAAATTAGCTTTAATATTTACTGATTTATCGAGGATTTCGTATTTTTCTAAATTACCGTTATATGGGATGTGGGCGTGGTTATTGTCCGATTTTAAAAATTTTCGGCCATTTGGTATGTTGTAGCAGGACCAACAACTGTGCCAAGTTTGGAAGAAATTGGTGCAGCGGTTACCAAGATATACGCATGTAACCATAAGTAGGCGTGGCTACGCCCATTTGCCAAAATTTTGTAATATTCTTATTTTTCGTCTAAACCTCATTGTAAATATCAATTTTGAGTGAATTATCTTCAGTGGTTACTAAAATATCGCACTTTTCGTATTTCTGAAAATTACCGTTATATGGGAGGTAGGCGTGGTTATTGTCCGATTTCGCCCATTTTCAATACCATCCGTCCCATGCCCAAAAGAAGTCCACGTACCAAGTTTCGTTAAGATATCTCAATTTTTACTCGAGTTATCGTGTGCACAGACGGACGGACGGACGGACGGACGGACGGACGGACGGACGGACGGACGGACGGACGGACGGACAGACAGTCACCGCTTAATCGATTTCTCTTTTCATTCTGATCATTTATGTATACATTTGTCTATATCTATCTCGATTCGTTTTGCCTGTTACAAACAACCGTTATGTGAACAAAGTTATAATACCCTTGTGCACAAGTGCGCTCGGGTATAAAAAGTTAGCTTTGGTACATTTTTTTTTAATATTTTACATTTTTGCTGTGCATTTTTTGTCGTTCCCCACTATAATGGTTTTCAACTAGTTATTATTATTTAACATTACTTACCAAGAGCAAGATAAACGCTTGTCATCAAGATTGTAACTTTTTCTGCTCTTTGGGCTAAAAAATTTAATACAAACAAATTAGAAACCTAGTATAACTTATTTTATAAAGTATAGTCTAAAATCGGATAAGAATTCTGTATGTTAATAAACTTAAAATCACTTGAGACCATAAGAATAATCCATTTTCTAAATTTTGTTTACGATCTAATTAATGATTCCATTTACTACTCTGAATTTCTCGGGCTCGGGCGAGTTTAACATACCCAGCAAATCTGTTCGTTTTCAAAAATTAGTTTATCTTCATCCGCTCGCAGCTAATTATTTTTCTCATGCACTAAAATTTAGGGCGCGTTTAGAGTTTAATAAAATCTCAATAAAACTAAATATTAAGTTTTCAAAACCAAGATCGATTTCTAAATAGGCAAGCCATAGACGATCTTTATCGTTAGTTTAATTGCCCTTTTATGGGAGTTTTTATATACGTGTACATAAGTGTTGAGAAAATTGTTTATGTACATCAAAACATACACACTTAATTAACTCTTCCCTTACCTAAATCGGTTTAAAATGTTGAACGATGCACATTTGTATATCGTATCTATAATACTATATGTTAATGTTATATTTCGCTAATATTGATGATTCTACATATTTGTTTTTAATATAATGGAAAATAGCTAGTACTCACCTTTTGGGGCAAGAGGAATCCACTGTCAAAGCTGACCTTTGATCCAATGCCACGAAAGAAGTTCTACGGGAGTTTATAAAAAAATTTTAAGTGAATTAGTTAAAGCCATAATGAAGAATTCAGCATAGCAACTTATTTAAAAAAGAAATTTAAATAATTGGGTTTACATTTAAAATTCTGAAAACTTTCGAAATGCACGGAAGATAAATATAAATAAGATTTCTAAATGCTACTCCATTTCCAGATCGACTTATCTCGGCAGCCAGTTCGAAAGCGCCATATCTCAGAAAACTTTTTAAGATGGCCCTAGTTCAAAACTTGATAGAAAAACATCCTATCTAAGAAGTTGGTTGAAGAACTCTTTAAGCATTTGAGAAAAATTAATCACACAAGCATTTAATGTTTCCTCAATGGATTTCAAACAATTTGATATACATATATAATATTTTTTTGTTTTCAATTTAAAAATTTACGTTTTCATAGCATTGAATCGCACGGTTTCGGAGATTTTCCCATATGTATGCATATCAGCAAAATTCGCGAGTTATTGCAAAATCCTCTCGACAGCAAAGTATTGTTTTTGCATTTATTTCAATCAATGGCATGCGAACAAGTACAATAAGAAATTAAATCAAGTATTTGAACAATTTTACCCTTAAAACTAGGGATGTGCCGGGTATCCGGTAGACATCCGGAAACCGGCTTATCCGGCCTTTTTTCTGTTATCCGACTATCAGGCCAGGCCGGATATGGCTAAAATCCGGCCGGATTTCCAGTTTTCGATTATAGAAGATTCTATTTAAGAATCTAGTTCAGCATTTTTTTTTAGTTATGATAATCAAATTTAATAGTGTCTAAAAGTAATTTGGATTTAAAAATTAATATATTTTTCATTATGAAAAGAAGCATTTACGCATTACCGGCCAAGAACCCATTTCAACACAAACACCCTTTTTGAGTTCACTGAGGAAGGTGGTTCACAGAGATAATTCATTGCCAAAGTAAACAAATTTGGAAATTGGTGCTTATACATTTGATAGTGTTTGACCGGGCTTTTCCTCCGATTCGTGGTGTGCGCATTGATGTTGTAACACAAGGGGAGGGACCTACAGTTTTACGCCGACTCCGAATGGCGATTGTATTTTTATGAGAAGCTGTTTTTCATGGCAGAAATAGACTCGGAGGTTTTCCATTGCCTGCCGACCTCTGGACCCGTCAGCATACCCACAAGCCCTGAGCGGCAATCACAAGGAGTCAGTCTCAAGTTACGTAGACACCAGACCTGTGACTGCCGTTCTGGGCACACCATCACCTGACGTAGACGAGACGGAGCTTCGTCTTTCTGACTACTGCAGCGGGTTGAACTCATACCTTAGATGCAGATGTGCCAGGTGAGTGTCCGGCACGCAAAGAGACACCCCACGACTCGAAATCACTCTCTTCGCATACACGGAAAACCCCACAAAACTAACGTACTTGTCCCTGTGGACAAACTACATAGAGGCTGCAGGCTTATTGGGTCTTCCGTTAGTTGAGCTTGACGACAACGACTGAGGCACTAGCCGATCAGGGCGGGGTTGTTATACCCGCTACAAAAAAAAAAAACAATAGCGGCCGTCTTTAATTCCACCAAATTAAAGGATCTTCTTATCAGGGTATAAGGGGTAGCTGTAAATATTTATCCATTTCTCCATTGTTTGGCTATCCACATCACTAGAATACTGATACTGGAATCAGTATCAGATCCGTTGCCTATTTCCTCAAAGCATTGGCAAATATTCTGGTCTCGCTCTTCAATAGAAGCTTTCACTAGAATTCGACTTTTTCATATGATTCATTAGGCGTCTCCATGCTGATTTATAATTTCGAATTATTTAGTTCACAAGCGAAACGATATGTTACCGTGCACACTAGTTTGATTTTCATCACATTTAAAAATAAAAAAAAGTCAGTCACGCGTTTTTTCTTTGCGGAATTCATTCTTGATTATCTTTTGTCTTTGACGTTCCTCTATTTACCAAAAATAATCGATCAATCCAGATTGCAGACGGAGAAGCTGTCTTTTTAATACGGTATTATATCAAAACTAGGATTTCAGAGGAGAAATTTTGTATTCTTAATTACGTATTGGATAGTTCAGCTAGAAAAAGCAGAAAATCTAGCTAAACAAAAAAACCTAATACATATAACAATATTGTGAAACTTGTTAAGAATAGCAGTCTACCAGATATCCGATCGGATATCCGAATCCGGCTCTTACTTTTTACAGGATATCCGGAATCCGGTTATTCGGCAAAATCTCTACCCGGCACATCCCTACTTAAAAGCTTTATTTAGGTGAAAAAGTACCGAAGTTATTAATTCTTTCATTGTCACCGAGAAAAAACTTAAATCTTTTTAATAACCTTGGGCAGTTTTCAAATAGAATGTTCATATTACAGACAATGGAGGTTGGCATCAAGCAGAGCAAATCTGTGAAGTTTCAAAAGTGTCCTACCAAACTAAAAACAAAAAAAAAATGGCACCATGCGGAATATCTGTCGCAATAGATAATTTAATTTAATTTTTTAAATTTTACGATGTTTTTAATGTCAATAGCTTTAGATATTTTTAAATATTGAAATCATACGGTGAAAATGCTCTTCGGTCCAAAACGAATTACTCTAGTGATACGAATTAAGTGTATCACCATATGAAACAAAAAAATTACATTGAGTAAAAGATGACTATGATTTGAGAGAAACTAAAACTCCATTTTTACAATTTTTACTGGCAAACTCGAAATTCATTCTAAAATTGTTATATATGAACATGAAGAAGGTAATAAACAAGTGCATAAGGAATACTGTGTAAAAATCTCCCACGCCAATATTTAATTACTTTTGAATTAGATGGCTTTTATATTAAGGCGCGCGAGTAAACATGTTAATAGAGGACTGTGTTTGGCGCTACGGGGCGTATACGTTACATACGCAACTACGGGCTTATGAGCACTATTGGTTATTTTTACTTCTTTTAGTACCTATATATTTTTCAAATTTTAATTTAAATACAATTTGGGGTTGAAATGTTGTTATTTATGCAAAACTGAAGATAATGCATTTTCCACGATACATAGGTGTATTAGAAATTTTGTGAGATTTGCTCATAAGTTTAGAGAAGTTGGATGCAATATTCAGCCCCAGCAGATGTATCGGACATTCTTAACCATTATGCGGAGCCCTAGGTACCGCTATACCTATAACCAACTTTAAACATTAAAAAGGCATTTTGACACTCCAGTAGAGATTTAAATTTCATACTACCCTAATTAGTACTTACGAACATAAATGTACATATGTGCCTTGTTTTAAAGTCACAACACGAAAATTTACCTTATAAGAAAAGATATCAAGAAAACAGCGAGTTTGTTAAGTGTCGAGATCTAAAACTATTCATCTTCAGAATCGAATTCATCCGCTGATTGGATATGCTAAAGATAGTATTTCAATTATTGAGAGTGGTAATGATAGTTTTCTTTATAGCAAAAATCGAGTCCGATATGTCAAACGTGCTGGAATGAGAGTCAAAATCTTGACATAAACCATGGAATGATTCGTTTAGTTCAAAATTAGTTTTGCATGGCTTCAAAAATAGAGGTCGAAAGTGTCCTGACACTCGAGAGGGAAAATTAAAATTTACCTCAGCCAGAAGCGCCGGGCTATTAATCAATATGCCTGTTATACCGCCTAAGCAGCGTTTGCCCAGACCCTAACTCTAGACCTCCATACGTAGTGCTTGGCAACTACAGAGCAGATGATTTACCATTTCTTCTTGATATAATGAATAACAGCTACGATAAGAAGCATTGTGTCCCAGTACCAGTCTTGCAGCATGGCTTTCAAGGGCCCAGTACCCTGTGATAAGGACTGTTAGTTGAGACAAATACAACCAGCTCATGATGAACGCAAACATATGAACTACCAAGTCGGGGATGCTCCATATTTTCGCCATATTAAAGGAAGTCCAGTTTTTAAAATGAGGCATATATATTTCTACTGCAGACTCCGATTCTGCAGTTAAAAATATGTAAGTTTTGTTTGACACTTCTATACTCCTCTTTTTCAACCTCTAAAATGGACAAAAATGTTTTGTACTCGAAAACGAAACGAAATTTAAAATCCTAGTCGTAAATTATCTATCTTATGATCGCTTCACCGACGTCCGGTTCGACCGGAAATGGGTCAAACAGACCGTATGTCCATTATACTAGCGGAAAGTCCACGTATCTTTGTCCGCAGAATCCGAATCTTTTGGTATTATATATTATATTCAAAAGAATGCAGCTATGGTCAATTTAACCCACTACCGATTTGAACCAGAATTCGGAATAATCCTTTTGTATTAATCCCAGATTATTAAATTTTTAGAAAGTGAAGTTTTGCTATCATTTGAGGGGGAATACCGTAGAACTGAGTTCTAGATACAAATGTACCTATATACATATTTTATAAACAAACTGTGTGAAAACTTATAGAATACGTACACGCACACGAAATAAGTCCAGAACAGCTCTTGACAAATACCTAATGGGTAAATATCTCAAATTAAAATAAATTTTATTTGTATAAAAATGCACATAGCTACATTTGTACCTAGGTTTCTACTGTACCTAGTAGCTTTCAGGTTTCCGCACAAGGGTTAATTAACATATTTTTATGACAATGGTCTAAACATAATTACATGGAAAATGCCACTGAAGATGGCACAACACTAAAACCGGTTTGTCTCCAAACCAAACTTGACAAAAGATGATGGAAATTCGTTTCAAAATAAAACGCTTTTGCTTAACATATATTGAAAATTTGACTATAATATTTATTTATTACGACTCATCATCAATGCTTGAAAATTGCAGTTTCAGCTTTAACATAATTATTACTCACAGAATATTCTTCAGGTTGAGGAAATGCACTTTCACGTATTCAACAGCAACGATTAAAAATTCAAATAACACAAAGGTTCACAGCGATCACTTAACTTTTGAAAGCACAAAATTACTTCTGTGTAATATTTTATCTCAAAAATATTATCTACTTCATCAACTTTAAACGGAACACTTAGTACGCTTTATGTAAATGTGAAATCCGAAAATATATAAAAGTCAGCCTAAAAAAGCTTAATTTTCTCCATTTACTCTCCAACAACCACTTGTGTTTATAATTATTTATTACTACACTTTATCGTTCAAGTGCAGCAGTAAATTTTACCTGACTTGCATTCGCGCCGAATGTCCGTTTCGAACTGAAGTCACAAATGCACGCGACTTGCCGCCGAGACTACTACCACACACCGTTCGTTTCCGCTGCTGGTACTAACGGGTGATTTTTTTGAGGTTAGGATTTTCATGCATTAGTATTTGACAGATCACGTGGGATTTCAGACATGGTGTCAAAGAGAAAGATGCTCAGTATGCTTTGACATTTCATCATGAACTGCCCATGCATCCCGAAAAATGCACTGTTTGGTGTGGTTTGTA